TTTTTGGTAAGCAAATATCTGATTGTGGGACAGAAAGACATAAAAGACATGTATTCAACCATCCCGTCAGTGGAAATCAGTGCTGGTTTCTTTTACCAAGCTTTCCAGACTGCATGGCACTTGCTTTTCCGCCTATGGTTTTCCATTTCAAAGCCCTGTGTCTCCATGTAAATACAAAAACACAGTAATCCAATCTGACCCCATTGCAAATTTTCCAGAAACTATTGGGGGGTAGTGGGGTTGACATGAGCCACACACTTATCCCACTTAACCTCTAGAGAGAAGCCACCCTAACCCCTTAGTCCAAGATTCCCTTGGTTGAGGAATGCACTGCTTTATACCACTCTGCTCTTAAAAGCACCATGTCTCGAGGTTGCACTCAATGGCAAAACCTTCTAACTTTGTGAGACCATAAACCCAAAGCAGCAGAGAGTGGATGCCAATGGTGGGGAAGCTAAATGGACAGCAGATACCAACATTGGGGCCTTCCCTGGCCACCGTTCTGCCCAAACCCAAATACTTTTTGATTTAAACCCAAAATAGTCCCTAACAGTTACATCTCATGAACATAGCAGGAGCATATTTATACTGTGCTAACTTGATGACAAATAACCTGAGGAATTTTCTGTTCCCCATTTACTATTGTTTGCTTTTTAGCATGCAAAACTAGTTCCAGTAGAATTCCCATTGCTCAGGATACAGCGGGAAAGATGCTTATCTCCCACGTTGGCGAGTGGTGGCACGTAAAGCAAGCTGAAGACTTTTGACACATGGTCCACATCTGAGGCATTTGCCATGAGTGTCTTGATCACACAGCGTGTAGCTACAGAGAAAGCCTGACGGCTGTTTATGGGGTTGAGCAGACAAATCCCCCGCATTATACTCTACAGGTGATGCATGCCACTGGACTGGTTTTGTTCTAATAGCGTTGTGTACATTGCACTTTCAAAACGCAGCTGTCAGTTCTTACTCTTTTCTGCAGCAACAGGAATAATAGGCCTGGCCTGGTTTATGTAAATAGGAAACATTTCACAAACTTTTTTTGTGGGCTCCTTTGGAAAACGCAAGCCATTTTAAACAAAACACAAACTCCTGTGATTTCTTGATCTAAACACGATTATACTGAAATGTTTGCATGTAAAGTTTCTCAGTATCTAAACTGGCGACACTGATTTCATTCCTTTCACGTAATCAATAAATGTATAAATTAATCCGTTTGTTTTTTATACCTTGTGTCAGATTTGTTTGGGTTTTTTGCTTTATTCTTTTCTTTGCACCCCAGAGGTGCAAAAAAAAAAGCTGCCCTGTTTAACTTATGAATATAAAGCTTTATGCCCCCCCCCAATCTTCCAGCTGCTTCATCGTTAACTGTGTGGTAATAAGGTAAATGTTATGAGCCTGCATCACTGCTGATTAACAACCTTAACCAAAAACAGCAAATATCTCCCTAAGATAAAATTTCAAAAATAACATTTTCCTTAGTCAGCCTGTAGTAAATGCTTTGCTATCAATAGGCACATCTTCTAATTAACTAAAATAGTATTCAATCAATACCCATAACTGGCCATTGGAAGAATTGATGAGAGCAAGGGTTGACTTGACAAAAAATGATTGACATGGACATTTCATCAACAGGTAAAGAGCTTATCAATCTTCCAGCCAATTGACTAAAACATTTGTGTTATTCTGGCTATGCAATTTAGAGTCTGCACTCTTTTTGGGAGGCAATATGGTCTTGGTTAATCAATTTTAGCCCCACCTAAATGTCTGAGGTAAATGGTTTGTATTCAGAGAGTCATTATGCTGTTAATTGACACCCCCCCCCCCCCCTTGTTGTTGGGGTGCACATAATGAGGTTTGGGGTCATTATACTTCTTGGATACACCAATCTTGTGATGTTTCCTTTTCCTATCATGTTCTGTTAAGGCTGATGATTCTCACCAGACAATCTCCTCTATCCAGGAGTGGTGCCACCAAGTCTGTCCTTGCTTATCATTAACAATCTGCAAATAAACAGGACAGCATACATTACATCACTTGCAGCTCCATGATCAATTCCAGGAATGTCTTTGAAGCTTTGCTTAATGAACCTACACAGTGTAGCTGCTCTGTGTAGTTAAGCAATGAAAGCTTCATAACCCATGACATCAGTGCAGGTTTTTTCATCCCTGATAATATTTTAAGGCTTGCAAAGGAATATAAACAAAAATAAAATAAAGTAATAAAGTAATAAAAACACAGAGTGGTTGTAGTTTTCTCTTCTTCTTCTCTACCTTTTTTCCAAGAATCTTAAGTCACATCATTCAAGGATCATTTCCGTAAACTGTGTGGACAGTACAGCATGGCAGCTTTAAAACACAAGCCATCCCCGAAGCTGCCCAAAATCACGCAAACCACACACACACCCACACACGTGGAGTGAGAAATTTTAGAGGCTGTCCAGTCAAATATACTACCCCTTCTGATTTTGATATGCATGATCTCTGTACAAAAGGGAAGCGCTGACAAAGTTGGCTTCATCAATCAGTTGTGTCAGCTCAGTCCTTTTTATAGCCTCCTGAAGTCCCTGAGAGCCCTAACCCTGTAAAAGTTTATAAGTATTGACCATTCCCTACTTGCTTAGCTAATGAAGGCAGCTTGGCCACATAGCCTGGAAGGCTGCCACAGTGTCAACACTGCTTCCTATTTGATGACACCCTGCGCTAAATTGAAATGTGCCGCTAATGGGGGCAAGTGTTTAAAGAAGAATAAGCCCCAGTAACTGACACAGACCTGACCTCTCTTACACAAAGAGATGACTGCAAGCTCTCATATAGAAAACAGCACCTTAATGCTGGACATTGCACGCACTGTTTAGCTACTTAGCTCCAGGTGTTCTGTAAGATCTCCATTCAGTCAGAAGTTGCTGGAGCTTATCAATAGTGGCGCATTTGTTTTCTATAGCAAATCAATAACAGAGAAAATACGCCACATCCGAGTACATCTCCTGGGGGGTATATATGCATGCACTCCAGTTTACGTACTTGTATACAGTATCTACACAGGCAAGAGGGGCAGGTTTCTAAGACAGCGCCTAACAATACTTATGATGAAGAGGACATCCGACCGACAATAAACAAAAACCTGCACAACATGCGCGCGGTGGTCTCACACTGATACTTGCGAGCACGAGCGCTTTTGTTTTCAATTCAGTGCAAGCTTTTACAAATTCTAACAACCAGTGTGCGACAAACAGGCCACATTTCCACGTTGTCAAAATATTCAGAATGGTGCATCATCATAATTCACTACATCCCTGTTGATTTTTGTAAGAATTTGCTCATTCCCTCAAGGACTCTCAGATCCACGCGGTCCCCGCCTGGATCCATGGAGACAGACAAATGACTGAGAATTGATGGTCAATGTTTGCCCAAGGCTGCTGACTGGCCACTGCACTCTAGTTTACTTGTGAATTAGTGGTTAAATTGCATTTTGGAGAGCACTAGCGTGGCTTTGTCTTGGGTTCACTTCGACGCTGTGCAGAAAAAACTGTCACTGCACCGACTAATGAGCTGCTTCTAATTGGCGTTTTTAAGCATCTTATAAGTATATCAGCATTGTTAATAGGCGCATACTGCATGTTACCGTTATGGAAGTGCACTGTGGACCTTAGGCTATAGCGGTTATGGAAAATAGGTTATGACAGCTTGTACGGGTGTAACAGGAACAACACTGGCTCAGATAGCTTAAAAAAATACCCGTGCATTATCAATAACACCTAGTTGGTTATCCAGCGTGAGCAACTGTCATTTTGCAGAGGCAGGCTAAAACGGAATTGTTTCCCAGAGACAGTTGTGCCGGGAAAGTGTGCTATATTTAACAAGAGAATTGATTGGTAGGCTATGATTCAAAACATAGACGTTTTGTTGGGGAAGTGATAATGCAGTAGCACAAGTGAGCACATCCTCCCCGAACTGTGCTCCTCTGGGTATTTGTGCGCAAACTTGTGATACGGGATGAGCCTCAGCAAAGATGAACTTGGCTGTTAAATAAAACCCATTTCAAGTCGAAATGAAAATATTTATATTCACTGGCTCATCAAAATAATGTATTTCCACATCATATGTACAGCACGCTTCTCTCACACCGAGTCAAATCCAAACATGGCTTGATGAGGAAAAGTGGAAGTGAAGACCTCACTGTAGGGAGTATAATCTAGGAAGATAATAAATGAAAAAAAATGAACACACCTTACACCCGTGAGCTTTCAAATTTAAAAAAAAAAATCAAATAAATAGCCTAATAAACTAATTCAAGTTAAAATAACTGTTAGCGAAAGCCTTAAAGGTGTCATAATATTCGCCTAACGTTACATTACGATCAGGAGCTTATCATAGAGCGCTTCATCCGTAACCCGGTCATATTTTCCTGAACTTTGATTTCAAAGGAGGTCGTTACTGGAAATGTTCCTCTGTTTTCCGGTGCTGATAAATCTGTGCTCGCAGACTCTGTAAACTGCGAAGTGAAAAAATTTAATTGTTATATTAAATTATGACATAAATCTGATTATAACCCAGCAGGACAGTCTTCGTGGTATTCAAACCAAAAAGAAAAAAGAAAACACGGTGATACGGTGGGGAATGGGACAGAGAAGGAATTCAGCAGCGCAACACAACAACCGGCCGACAAAGCGAGCCGGTCTCCCGGCTTGGCTTGTCTGCTCTCTCCCTTTCGCTGGGTCTCACACACCGACCAATAGCGCAAGTTCTATAACGATGTTGACATATTCACACAACACTGGCTGAGGCAGGGTGGTGTTTCACGGCAAAGCCCTTTTTAGTTTCCAAACACCTTTTTATAAGTCTGAAGTCTGTCCCCTCCACCCGACCTGTTAAAACCACGCCCACGCAGCCACACAATTGGTCCGAAAGCGTCAAAGAGCCAATCAAACCGAGCGCTGCTACTCTCTGTTGCATACACATCCATACAGTATGAAGCCCTATGGGCCACAGAGGCGCTAGGAAAATCACGGAGCTGGGACCTTACCACCTCTCTTTCTCTCTCTCTCTCTCTCGCTGGCCGTCAGCGGACTCCTTTCTTTTGCACACGTCTTTCCCTGAAATGTGTGTGTGCGTGAAAGGGAGAGGAGGAATAAAGTGTGTGCGCGCGTGTGAGGGTACATGTCCGGAGCGAGTAAAGGCAGGGGGATTATTCGGCGCTATCGAAATATTTCAACACGTCGCTTTCGCTGCAGGACTGAAGCCAATAAGAGGGAACCCATTTTAACAGGAATGCCGATATTGTAAACAGCAGCAGAAGAGAAGGAATGCACCGCAGTCAATTAAGTGACTCACCTCACTCGGTTTAATTCGACTAATGTCCGAAAGACGCAGAAAGTTGTCCAATGCGCGTTAACCTCCGAAGAAAATCGGCCTGGCAGCACTCTTGAAGATTAATGGAGAGCACTTGTACATTTCACTTTGCAGACTTTTGACCAACGATTCGGCAAATGACTGCAGAGATTTCCCGGCAACTTGGGAAAAAATAGTGGATGCTTGTTCCCGTCGAGTTCAAGGAGGAATTTCCAAAAAGCTTTCCAACTCCAGATTTGTTTTGATTTTTGCTTCTTATTTTGCCATCATTTGGCTCTGTCATACGCGAGCCTTAGTGTTCTAAGAAGTATTGCTTTCAATCCAGCCAGTCGTCTACGTTTGTTGCCTGCTCTTGGATGAACTTCCTGATGAGAGATCCAGTCATACAAGGATCAAGTATGGCATATCATCCGTTTATACCTCACCGGGGTCCGGAATTTGCCATGAGTGCGATGCTGGGTCACCAGCCTCCCTTCTTCCCGGCCCTGGCTCTCCCTCCCAGCGGCTCCCTCTCTTTGCCGGGAGCCCTTGGAAAGCCGATCATGGACCAGCTGATGGGAGCCGCGGAGACCGGCCTCCACTTCTCCTCGCTGGGACATCAGGCTGCTGCCGCCCACCTCAGGCCTCTGAAGACTTTGGAGCCTGAAGAAGAGGTGGAGGACGACCCAAAAGTTCACTTGGAAGCCAAGGAGCTTTGGGAACTCTTCCACAAGAAGGGCACTGAGATGGTGATCACAAAATCCGGAAGGTGAAACATGTTTTTGTGTTTATTCAAATAATTTAAAAAACAACAACAACGCAGAATCCTGTTGTGTGTGATCAAAATGTGGGATGTTATGTCATAGCCTGCACACATACAGATAGATTACAATTACTACAATTGCTTTAGAAGAACAAGTATAGAATAATCCTTTAATTGTCCCACAAGGGGAAATTTGGTTGTAACAGCAGCCAAAAAGACACATATACAAACAAACAGTACACAGGACACAGAACAGAAACATACACAATTTTTCTTACATATTTACATTAAGGACAATGGTTACTATATACAGAGAGTACTGTACAGTTATTAAATTAAATAAAAAAGTCTTTACATTCCTCTAAGTTCAACTGGTTACGTTGACATTTCAGTCTAAATATGCCACAAATATAACGCTGAAACTGCATTTTTTAGTTATAGAGTAAAACAGCAAAGATCGGCCATTTCTGATATCTATTTCTCGCTTGGAAAATAAAGACACCATCTGTAGCTACAGTGTAAATTTTCGTGTTCACACAGCCTGCAAAGACACTTTACTAGGACGTGTTTATTGGTGGAAAACAGCATACACTCGCATAACATAAAAGGGATCATGCATGCAACTCATGAATTATTAATATTAAACCTTGTCTTTCATTAGTTTTCACTTGAAAGATCTATACACAGCTTATGATATAAAATACAGCTTGATAATATTTTTTTTTACCCACTGCCCTTTTTATCTAAATTTTCTGTTGTCAGAATACTCTATTAAAGTGGCTCATAGAGCTCTGACTAAATTAATTTTATCATCACGGTAATCTTATTGTGTGTGTGTGTGTGTGTGTGTGTGTGTGTGTGTGTGTGTGTGTGTGTGTGTGTGTGTGTGTGTGTGTGTGTGTGTG